AATATTTTCCCCTCGTGGTTTATGTTTCTTTCTTTCTTTTTTTTTTAATAAAAAAGTATTTGACACAGAAACTTTAAAACATTTCCCAGTCATATCCATTGATTGCTTCCTTCTATTGTGCCTAAGAAGAAATGCTTCTTCTACACAAATGTTTAAAAAAGATTCTATTTTCTTTGGGTTTTTAAAAACAAAATTAGTTTATTAATCCTCCTACTTTTGATATATGAAATGAGATGAGAATTCAACTAGTTTCTTCTCCCCTCCAAATTACGAATGAGTTATCTGAACTTTTTTATTGATTTTTATTTCAAAGAAAATCATATTTAGGGGCCAACTAAGCCAACAATTGGATCTAATTTATAGTCCTTTTCTGAAAGAAATCCTAACAGTTCAAGGAAGACTTTTGGTCTGTCTTATCCAACATTCCTGCAGCAATTACAATATGCTACAAATGGGCTTAGGTGAAGGTAGCTAGTGTCTTCTGGTTCATATGGAAATTTGCTGCTGAAAAAAGACCTTACCTTTGAAACCTACCAGATTGGTGGTGTTTTGGTTGAGTGAAATGCACTTTTGCAGGGGGCAGTGAGTGGGTAGGAGTTAAGGAGTGAGGGTTATGGTTGGGACTATGGCTAGATCTAGGCTAAGCCTAGGACTTTATTTATTGTTTTGGGTAGGGTTAGAATTAGGGTTCTTAAGGATAAGGGTTGTGCTAGGGCTAGGTAGGAGTAAGAAATGGTCTAGTTTTTAGGTTTATTGTTAGGTTTATTTTTATTTGTTTTTCTTGGAATCTATTTGATTTTCTCTTCATTTGGAAGTTCTGTAACTACATTATTCCCTCTTTTTAACTTTATGTTTTTCTGTTGTTGTTGTTGTTGCAATTGTATCTCTGGTTCTCTATTTTCAGTCTTACAGGTTTGTTTTACTTTGCACACTTCCATATCCGAGTTGAGTCTAGTTGATATTCTCATGTATGTTAGTCTCGGGTTGTTGTCTACTGTTGTTAGTTCTTCTTCATCCAAAGAACTCCCTTTAATATTTTTTTATAAGGTTGGTCTGGTTTGCACAAATTCTTTTAATTTCTGTTTGTCTGAAAATGACCTAACTTCACCATCATATCTAATAGACAGTTTAGCTGAATATATGATTCTTGATTGGCAAGTTCTTTCTTTCAGAGTTATAGATGTCATTCTATTGTCTTCTTGCCGGTATGGTTTCTACTGAGAAATCAGAGTTTAGTCTTATTAGGTCACCCTTGTGGGTAACATTTTGCTTCCCTGAGCTATTCTCAGGATCCTTTCCTTGTCTTTGGCTTTGAAAAGTTTAATAATATGTCTTGGTATTTTTCTTTTGGGGTCTATCCTCTTTGGAGTTCTTGAATGGCTATCTTATCTTTCATTATGTTAGCGAAGTTTTCTTTCAACAACTCCTAGACAATATTCTCTATGAGGTTTTGGGGTTTTTTTCCCCTGTCTTCTTGTTCTGAAATTCCTATCACATGTAAGTTATTCTTTTGATATGTTTCACATAAATTTGAGTCTTTCTTTGAACTTTGTGGTCATTTTTTTCTGATTTTTCCTCTAGCACAAGAGTGGAGAATCTTTTTCCTGCCAAAATTTATAACATCATTCGCAGGCCATACAAAATTATCAACTTAAAAATTAACCTGCTATATATGGTTAAACATTTAATTAACTAATTAAACTAAAATTAACATTTAATTAAACATTTAATTAATTAATGTGATGGCGGGAGAAAGATGAGGCTTTCTGCTTCCATTAATATTTACAGGCTCGGAACCCCTGTACAGGTTCTCTATGAGTCGGAACTGACTCGACGGTACTTAACAACAACGTAATGGCTAGAACTGTGGCGTTGCCTTAGCAAGACCAGACCTTGTGATTTCACAGGACTTGAATGGCCCACAGAGTCCTGGTGTGGCGCTGTGGGTTAATGCGCCAGACTGTAAAGCCGTTTGAACTGCAAGGTTGGCTGTTCAAGCTCACCAGCTGCTCCTTGGAAACCCTGTACAGGGTCGTTATAGGTCAGAATCGACTCGACGGCACTTAACAACAACAACAAATGGCCCACAGACCAAATGTTCTCCACCCTGCTCTAGCAGATGAATATCCGAGAGACTTTTCTTCAAGCTTAGTAATTTGGCTTTCCATTGACCAGTTGTTGAAACGTTGATGAAATGTTTGATCAATGCTTGATCATTGATGAAATGTTTGATTAATTCTATTTCTTTGTCTATTCAAGTCTTAGTATTTTTCTTCTGGCTTTCTAATTGCTGATTTTTTATGGTTCCCATTTTTACAAGTATTTTGTCCACTTGTTTCCTGAGTTTTTCCATAGTTTTGTGTATGTTTTTGTTGATTTCATCTGAGGTTTTCTCAATCTTTCTCACAATCCACTGATGTTGCCTAATTAGCATTCTTTTAAATTCCTTATCTAGTAGTTCCAATACTATTTCTAGTGTTATATTTTCTGACTTTGTTATTTTGGTGACTTATTTGAGGCCTTTTGTTCTTGTCTTTTTGTGTGTGTAAGCTGAAATTGTCTGTTTTTTCCAAGACATTGTGGTGTCAGATTTATATTTAGTAGATAATTGTATACTGGTGTTGTCTCAGGCATACACTGGAAGTGTGAAGCAAGTTAGTTCTCTGCTCACTGTTTGTGTAGCATACCTCCAGAAGCAGGTGCACTGTGCCTGGCACCCAACCCCAGGCATAGCAAGACTGGACAAGAGGAGGAGCTACTGGCCACTGGTTTGGTGAGGCTGGGAACTGGCCACGCCTCTGGTGACCAGAGGGCACTGAAACAACCGAGAAGTGTGCACCCTTGCTGCTAACTTCCAACAATGTCCTGTGCCTACAGGGTGCTTACAAAGCTCAAAATGGCTTCACTGCACCACACCAGTCCACAGTTGGTCCGTTTTCTTCTCTCTCACTACTCCTACTTAGCTTCCTCTTACAGTTAGTACTCAGTAATCCACCTCTCCGGCCTATCCTGTGATGCCCAGGTGTTCCAGGACCACCATCTGTGTATTTCATTGCACTCAGTGAGCCTGCCTACTCAGCCACCTTGCCCCAGATCCTCTGGAGTGCACTTTTGAGAGAGAGGGTGATTTCATCCAAAGGATTGAAATCAGTGTTAGTCAGTGTCATAACTTCTGTGGTACTGAATTGGTAGTCTCAATATATCCTCCATCCCGCTGAAGGCCATGCCTGGCTCAAAGTGTGATTGATTGTACGAAAAAGTAACCTCTTGCTTTTCCAACGCTGGTGGCTAAAAGCTGTCAACTAGTTTTTGAGAAAAATGAAAAGTTGTTAATTAGGGAAATCTTATGCCAGTGTCCTCAAACTCCAGAGTACTTAGGTGTCACCTGGTGAACTTACTAAACATGAAGTATTCTAGTCCCCAGTACCAGCATACATGGGCTGTTCCTGAAAAGTTTTCTTGATCTCATCTCTTTCTAGTATTTTGAAAACGTAAACAAACAAACAAAAATACCCATAGATATTAAAACTGAGTTCTAAGTGATTTTTCTTTTTTCCCATGGAACACTGGTATCTGCTTTGCTACCAAACCCCCAAATTCAATGGAGTGGAGTGGATTCGGATTTATAGTGACCCTCTATAAAAAGGGTATGTGGCACTGTAGGATAAGTACTGAACTGCTAATCACAGGTTAGAGGTTCAAATCTACCAGCCACTCATTCAAAATCCTATACAAGGTGACTATCAGTTGGAAACTGACTCGATGGCATTTATTAACAACATAGGGTAGAATTGTCCCATAGGATTTCCAAGGCTGTACATCTTTATGTAAGCAGCAGACTGCCACATCTTTCTCCTGAAGAGTCATTAGGTTTTTGACCTGCTAATCTTTTGGTTAGCAGCCAATTACATAACCACTGCACCACCAAAGTTCCTTACCTGCTCTGCTCACCTGTGCAAGTGCTCCAGGAGGGCAGATTGGGCAACTCATGGGCACATCTTTTCATGTAGGGTTCTAAAACGACTTCCAGCCACGCGTTCTATAATCCCCGAAAGGTGAACAATTTAATGGTTGTGATCTGTAAACTCAATTTCGATTCCCCAGAAGGCCATCTTGGAACTGCTTCTGGATTCTTTCCTTGAGTTAGGAACCAGTCAAGTTCTTTTGGCAATACCTCCTCCTACAGCCCTAGGTTTATGTTGTAAATACACCCTAAAGTGAGGATCCTACCCTGCCTCAGGACTCCTTCGGGTCTTTCTTCTCTTGTCCCACTGCTAGATAGAAGTTCGTTTTCCCTGCAGGTGGGGAGCCTCGGTTACAGCCACACAGGGATTTGAAGACTTTTCTGTGAATATTTCCTTTCCCCTGTTCCATCTCTACATTCCCTGTCGATCTTGGTCTTTTCTTCCCTTTCCCTAGTATTCTATCCGTAACCCCAACCAAAGTCCTTTTCTGCTCACAAGTACGGCAACTCAATACCTACCCAATAGTGGAGTAGGAGGTGTTAAGTGTGGTTAGATTCGGAAGGGGGCTTATCCAGGGACTGGAGGTTCACTGTGTGGGTGCTCACTAACCCAGTCCTGTCACCCCACGCGACTCTCTCCCTCGCGTCTTTGCATAAGTCATCTGCAAGGACCCACTGCTCATCAATCCCGGTCATTTCACAAGGTTGCTCCCATTCGGCGAGCCCCCCGGGGCGCCTTCCGTCCTCCCTTGCGGATGTTGTCCTCCCATCTACCCAGCTGCAGCGAAAAGGGTCCGCAGCGCTCCGGACTGGTTGAAGGGGCGGGGAGAAGGGGACCGGGAGGAGCCAGGAGGTGGTGGCGACTACGTGGTGCCAAAGCCCCGGGAGCTCCCGAGCCTGTGCGCGCGCGCGCCTCGCGGAGGGCTCGGGCGGCGGGCGGAGGAGCCGCAGGAGGAGCCGCGAGCGGAGTAGGCGGAGCTGGTGGAGGAGCAGCCGGCGGGGCGGCGGGCGGGGCGAGCTGTGAGGGGTGGGAGGGCGCGCGAGCGAGCGAGCGAGCGGCGTCTCAGCCAGCATCTGCCGCGGCCGCGTTTGCCCAAAGCCTGGGGACCGACTTACGGATCGCCTGGCAAACGGACACAGGCGCTTGCTTTGTGCTTGAGACCAGCTTCGGCAAGGCTCCGGGCTTGCAGTGCGTGGCTTCTCCGCCCACTCGCGGCTACTCAGCTCCGGCGGCCTCGGCGCGCGAGGGGCTGGAGGTGCGGGAGCCGCTCTCCGCCGTCGGTTCCCCGCGCGGCTGAGCCCGGGCTGCCAGCGCCTCGGCCCCGAGCGGCGTCCGCGAGCTCCAGCTCCCCGCCGGGCCGCTCTGAGCAACCGTGTTCCGGGCTTCAAACTCGGGCTCCCGGGGCAAGTGTCTTCATGAACCCAGAGGATGTCCGGGAAGCACTACAAGGGTCCTGAAGTCAGTTGTTGCATCAAATATTTTATATTCGGCTTCAATGTCATATTTTGGGTAAGTTGGAGCGCCTCTGGGATTTCAACTATTGTGGCTGTTCGATTCGCGACGATTTCCCCCGTTGCTCGCTGCCTTTACTTTTCGCAGCCCCTCAGGCGCTTGACGGAGAGGGGGAAAGGCGTTTGCCTTCCCCGCTGCCAGCTCGCGCGTTGGAGAGATAAACATTTAATCCTTTCTAGGAATGGGAAGGGGTAAAAGAAAAACCGAGCCGGAAAGGTGGCACTCAGGCTCTGGGGTGCCTTTTTAAGGGGTGAATTGGAGAACTAAAGAAAGGGCTCGGCAGTTAAAGAAATGAGCAACCACACGAATTAAATTTGCTCCCCGTGTGATATGGATGTTGGGCAGAGTGTGGTGTCATAATCGGACAGAGCCCACCCTGAGGTCCACCTTATAACAGGGATCTGATTGGACGAGGGCTTGGCTCCGTGTTGCCGTGGCTAGTCTGTGCCATGCTCAGCGTGTATCTTCTTGCACCATCTAGGGCTTTGTGTAGGATGCAGATGCGGTGGTATAAGGCTCTGTAATGTGCACGTAAATAACGCTTCCTGCACCCTCTTCCCCTTAAGCTGGAAAGCACTCTTTTGCATAATAGGCCAGTGGGCGCTTGGGGTGGAGGGGTTTATGTCTATACATGTCATTGTCAGTATAATAACAAGTCACCATCAACATATGTTTCCGTGTCTCACGTCTTGTCCTCCTTTTCTGAGGAGTGACACAGACCGGGTCGTTTCTGGGAAACCTTGAAGAAATGTGAAGGGGAAGGTGTACGAGGTATGTTTTTATTGGGGAACCAAGAGAGTGAATGCTTGAACAAGACTCAAACCATGCTCTGCTGCCACTACAATGTATTGGGCACCTATTGTAATTAAACTGGGACGCCTACTCTTTTGTTGTGTTTTGATTCTTTCTTTTGATCTCACAAATCAATCGTGTTCAGCAACCAGACAAAGAGTTCACCAGGAGAAGGGGAAACGTAGGTTCACAGACCATGGTATTTTTCTTTCCCATTCCATTCCATCTTCTTCACTTGGCACCCCCCTCCCCATGGAAAGTAAAGATGGTGGCTGTCTAGGGGGTTCTCTAAGTTGCTGTTAAGTGTAGGATCAGTGTGAGGTAAACAATGATCCGATTGTGGGATCAATAGTAAGCCAAAACAATCAAATCACAGGGTATATTTATTTTGATCCTCCTTTAATTTTGGCCATTTGCTATAAATGTGTATCTTTGAGATTAGTTGCCAGTTCAGCTCTTTACATGTTTCTCTTTCTACTACACACTTAACAGGCTATTTCGTTTTTTCCCCCATTTCCTATGTGTCTTACGTTGATCACACATGTTTTGCAAAAGGAAATGGCAGAGATTGGGGAGTACTTTCTGTGTCAACATGCCATCTGTCCTCAGGACTGATAATAAGGGAGGCCACGTGAAGAAATATCATATCCGATCATTCACAAGCAGTTTTGTTGGTTTTTTTCTGTGTGTGTGTGACAGTGATTGTGATTTCTATAAGCAGTTACCCTGCTTCCCTACACTCAAACATACTACAAATATATAGGAGGAAGACATTATTTTCTTTCTTTGCTTCTTTTTTCTTCCCTTGATGGTGGGTAGTTATATTTCTGAGTGAGGTATTTTGAATTTTATTGGAACTTAAAATGTCTAATCTTTGAGAGGCAGGAAATACAGAATTTGGACTGGCCCTTGTTGGGGATGAGCCTTTCCGTTTGAATACTTGCAAAAGTTGTACATTTCAACTAGCACCTCTCTGGAGTTTCATAGCAGAGGGTGGGAGGAAATAAAGGGATGTGGGCCTATTTTTGTAACAGTTTGGTATGATTTTGTAGAGTGCACAGAGGCACATTGAACTCTTTCTGTGGATAAAGTTGCAACAAACCCTTAGGAACTGGAGAGAGCTTCAGTGAACTGAGGAGTACTTGCATAGATAGTCCCAGAATAGAGACACATCTTGTCTCATTTTGGAGGTCTTCATCTCTGGGAGGATATTTATAGGAAACCCAAGAGCTGACTTCACTGTAGAACTAAACCAGCTGCCACAAGCGAACTGTTAAGTAGATGCCTTTGTTATGAGAGTCTTTTCTTACCCCGCAGTACCTGGGTATTGCTAAAACCAAAAGGTTGGAGATTCAAGTCCACCCGGAGGTGCATTGGAAGAAAGACCTGGCCATCCACTTCTGAAAAATTAGTCATTGAAAACCTTGTGAAGCACAGTTCTGCTTTGACATACATAAGTCGGAATCGATTTGAAGGCAACTAATACCTTACCTTTCTTTCTAAATCCTCTTCCCCTCTCCTTTCTAGATCCAAGGCTTTCACTCAGACACCCCCTCACACTTTTCTTTTTCTGCTCTGTGTTCCAAAATCACCCCTTATTTAGATCTTCCAGTTTATAAGTACCATAGTCTCTAATGATGATTAACAGGAACGAATAACCATGGCATTTGATTGATTAAAGTCATAAAGTATTAGTGACAGAAGAACTAGTCAATAACTTGGCAGCCTGTTTCTGAAAAGTTGCGTATCTCTCCTCTCTCTAGAGTTACCAGCTGAACTGTGACTACCAGAAGCTGCAGATCCAGTGCTCTTCCTATACATTTATGAAGAAGATATTGCTAACGGAGAGCATGATTTCCAGAGCTTTCATGTTCACACTGTGAAACACTGGAACAGATCTGAAATAAATTAGGGACATTTGGAGTTATAGTTCTGGTCAACTAAAATTGCACGTGTGTAGCTCTAATACCAAAAGTTTCGTTTGATTCTCTGTAAGTCATTTAACTGCTCTGGACCTGTTTTTTAGCTGTTAAAACAAAAAGAAGTGGATGAGCTCTTAAGTTCTTTCTAGTTCTGGTTTGGGATGATTTATTGAGTTCCAGTATTGCTGGGGAAGAAAAATATGACATGGTCATTAATACAAGGGGGCTTCAAAAAGTTTATGGAAAGACTTCACTGGCTTTTAATTCTACGTTTCCAGGAACTTTTTATCTCGACTAATAATAGTATTTGTTGTTGCTGTTAAGTGCCATCGAGTTGATTCCGACTCATAGCCACCCTGCATAGGGTTTCTGAGGCTGTAAATCTTTACAGGAGCAGAAAGCCTCATCTTTCTCCTGCGGAACCGCTGGTAGTTTTGAACTGCTGACCTTGCGGTTCACAGCCCGATTCATAACCACTGCGCTACCAGAGTTCCTAATAATAATAGCATATATTTGGACATTGGTTAAATGAAAAGGTTTTCTTTCTTACTGAGACTTGTCAGAAAACCAATCTTATTACCTCCATTTCTTCCTTAAAGGTATTTCCATGTAAAGACATATTTTTCACTAGTTTTCTTCTTGACTTATTCAGTTATTGGCATAGTATATACATTCATCTCTACTGCTACCATGAATCTCATGGAGTCCTATGAGTCATCAAATATATTTTTATTAGAGTTACAGTTTTATGAGCAAAATCTGAATGTTTTTATATAACAGTTGTAATGATATTCTGATTAATAAAATCAACATCTTGTACAGGTTCCTTTCTCATTAGTTATCACAGGGTGGTGGGGAAAGTCTTGTTTTCCCTGTTTCATGCTAGAAAAACTCAAGACAGAGGGAATTGATTTTCCTAAGGATGTCACCATATTTGAATATTTCTCAGAAAACCCCTGAGGCCACTGAGGGTCAGCTTGGGAAAGAAGCAGTTGGGTTTTTTTTTAAGTCACTTCTTTAGGAGTAAATGAACCCTTCCTGCATCCCACAGTTAATAGATATTTTTCTCTGAACCCTTTTAGATTCTGGCTGTGATTTTTAACTCTTCTGTGTTCCTAAAAAAGTTAATTGATCTGAGTATTCCAGTTGTCTGCCCTTGTTGTAGCGCTGTAGGATAAGCAGTAGATCACAAGGTTGGTTTGAACTGCAAAGTCAAAGGTTCAAACTCAACAGCTGCTCCTCAGAAACTCTATATAGGGTTGCTATGAGTTGGAACCGGCAGCATTTAATAGTAACAAAAATAATAGCAACAACATTGTTGCATAAAAGAGTCTTGGTTGTATAGTGATTAAAGTGCTCAGCTGCTTACTGAAAGGTCAGTAGTTTTCAATCCACTGTCACTTTGCAGGAGTTAAAAACCTAATAGTCTGTTCCGGTAAAGATTTACAACTTTGGAAACTGTATGGGGTAGTTTTAGTTTTACTCTGTCCTAGCCGCATAGTGGTTAAGAGTTGGGCTGCTAACCTCAAGGTCAGCAGTTCGAAACTACCAGTGGTTCTGCGGGAGAAAGATGAGGCTTTCTGCTCCCGTAAAGATTTACAGCCTTGGAAACCCTGTACAGGGTCGCTATGAGTCAGAACTGACTCCGCGGCACAAAACAACAACAACAACAACAAGAGAGATGAGGTTTTCCGCTCCCGTAAAGATTTACAGCCTCAGAAACCCTGTACAGGGTCGCTATGAGTCAGAACCGACTCCGCGGCACAAAACAACAACAACAACACAACAAATAACAAGCAACTCCAAAACTTAGTGGCTTAGAACAAAACTTTATTATTATATCTAACAGTTCTCTGATTTGACCATGTTCGACTGGTGATTCTCACTTGGGGTTGTACATGCAGCCACAGTGAGAAGTGACTGGGGCTGGGAGTTTCTGAAGGCTCAACATATGCAAGATGGTTCCCTCATATGACAGGCAGTCAATGTTGGAGGAGAGCGAGGCCCGGGCTGTTGACTGGAACACACACCTGGCTTCTTCCTATCTCTGAGACAGAAGAGGACGCTTCTAGTCAGCTAAGGCTGCACCTGGAGCTGGTACACTGTCACTTTCATGCATTCCATTGGTTAAAACACTCTTGTTGTTGGTTAGTGCCATCCAGTTGGTTCTGACCCATAGTGACCCTGTATAGAGTTTCTGAGGAGCAGCTAGTGAGCTTGAATCACAGGCCTTGCAGTTCAAACCAGCATTGCAGTTCAGTGCATTAAACCACAGTGCCACAC